TGAGATGATCATATGGTTTTTGTCCTTGACTCTGTTAATATAGTGTATTACATTTATTGATTTATGAATGTTGAACCATCCTTGCATCCCTGGGATAAATCTGACTTGGTCAGAGTTTATGCTCTTCTTGATGACCCTCTGTATTATTTGCCAGTATCATGTTGAGGATTTTTTGCATCTATGTTCATTAGGGAGATTGGTCTGTAGTTCTCTTTTTGGGTTGGGTCTTTCCCTGGTTTTAGAATCAAAGTAACACTTGCTTCCAGAAATGAATTTGGAAGCCTTGCTTCCCTTTCAATTTCCTTGATGAGTTTAAAGAGTAATGGCAGTAGTTCTTCTTTAAATGTCTTGTTGAATTCAGCAGTGAAGCCATCAGGACCTGGACTTTTCTTTGTTGGTAAATTTTTTATTACATTTTCAATTTCACTCATTGTTAGTGGGGTGTTTAGAATTTCTATATCTTCTTCCTTTAACTTTGGTAATTTGTATGTATCTAGGAATCTGTCCATTTCTGCTGTGTTTTCCATTTTATTAGAGTACAGGTTCTCAAAGTAGGTATTGATGATCCTCTGGATTTCTGCTGGATCTGTTGTTCCTTTACCTTTTTCGTTCTTAATTGCATAGATTTGAGCCTTTTCTGGCCTTTTTTTGATAAGGTTTGCTAAAGGTTTATCAATTTTATTTGTTCTTTTGAAAAACCAACTCTTTGATTCATTGATTTTTTGGTATCATTCTCTTAGTCTCCATTGCATTGATTTCTGCTCTGATCTTTATAATTTCCTCTGTTGTATGAGCTTTGGGTTTGTCATATTCTTCTTTTTCTAGGAGCTTGAGGTTCTGATTAGGTTGTTTGTTTGAGCTCTCTCTGTTTTCCTCATATGGGCATTCACTGCTATGAATTTCCTGCATAGAAATGCTTTCATTGTGTAACATAGATTCCTGTATGTTGTACTAGCATTATCATTTACTTGTAGAAACTGTCTAATTTCTTCTTTAATTTCCTCTGTGGCCCATTGGTTGTTCAGGAGATTATTACTCAATTTTCATGTGTTTGTGTGGTTTTTTTATGGTATTGATCTCCAATTTTATTGCACTATGGTCTGATAGTATGCAGGGGGTAACTTCAGTTCTTTTGAATTTACTTAAACATGTCCTGTGAGCTAGCATGTGGTCTATTTTGGAGAATGACCTGTGTGCAGCTGAAAAGAATGTATATTCTGATTTTCTGGGATAGAGCACTCTGTAGACATCTATTAAGTCCATTTGCTCAATAACTTCGTTCAGTTCTAGAATTTTGTTGTTAATTTTTTGTCTAGATGATCTGGCTATTTGTGACTGTGGGGTATTGAGGTCCCCCACTACAACTGTACTCATACTTATTTGGTTTTTCATGTCCATTAATATTTGTTTTGTATAGTTGGGGGCATTCGCACTTGTTGCATATATATTTATGATTGTCAACTCTTCCTCTTGGATTGTTCCCTTCACAAAGGGATCATCTTTGTCTCTCTTAATTAGTTTTGGTTTGAAATCTACTTTGTTTGCAAATAAGATTCCTACCCTTGCTTTTTTCCGGGTTCCTGTCCCATGGAGAACTGTTTTTCATCCTTTTCTTTCAGTCTATGAATGTCTTTTTGAATTAGGTGTGTTTCTTGTATACAGCATAGTGCTGGATTTTGCTTCTTAATCCATTCTGTCAGTCTATTTCTTTTGATTGGTGAATTGAGGCCATTAACATTGATAGTTATAATTGATGGATATTGACTCATCCTTGTCATGATGTTTTACTGTTGTTGGCTCTTTTAGTTTTTATTTTTCCCCCTTTCCCTTTAGTTTCTTGCCTTGCCTGGTGGTTTTGCTCTGTTGGGCCTCAGGAGTTGTGACCTTCATTGTCTTTTTCTAGGATATTGTTTTGTAGTGTTTGGAGTACTGGTTTGGTGTTTAATTACTCAGGTGTTCTTTGTCATGGAAGTATCTAATTTCCCCATCGATTCTGAAAGATAATTTTTCAGGATACAACAGTCTAGGTTGGAAGCTATTTTCTTTTAGGGCTTTAAATACTTCACTCCAGGCTCTCCTTGAGTTGAGGATTTGTGATGAGAAGTCTGCTGTGATTCTGATGGGTTTTCCTTTGTATGTGATTTTTTTCTTTTCTCTTACTGCTTGTAGGATTTTGTTCTTCTGCTTGGTTTCTGGGATCTTAACTAGTATATGTCTAGGTGTAGCTTTTTTTTTATCGTGGCTAGTTGGAGTTCTCTGTGCCTCACTTGTCTGCATATCCAATTCTCCACCTCTGTCTGTGAAGTTTTCTACTAATACTTCTGTGAAAATTTTTTTATGTCATTTTTACTCTCTTCTGCTTTTTTGTGGACTCCTATCAGTCTTATGTTATTCTTCTTTGCATCATCTAGCAGCTGCTGGATTGATTTCTCATGGTCCCTTACCATTTTG